GTTGCGTCGGTCTTCGTCAGCCGTCGTTGTGCTGCCACGCCCCCGGCTGGTAGAGGGCAATGAGCAGGTTACTTGCCACTAACGGTTTAATATTTAGCAGATCTAAAACCGCCGAATGGATTCGCATTATGGAAATACGAAGATTTCAACCATTCTGAATGATTTCTCTCATCCTTTGTTTCAGTAGCGGTCTAGACCAATCTTACCAAACAGTTAAATTCTTGGGTAGCATTTTTGAGGATCTCACCTGGAATACTCAAGTTCAGTCTCGTGTAACCAGGTGTTGTAGGGTTTCGTTTTATGTAAGGGGTCAGAGAAACCTCCTTGTACCACACCATGTCATTAAAAAAGTGGTCTCTGCATGTATTCTTCCACTATACAAGTATGCATCAGCGATCACTTCTCTCTGCTGACATGCGATTTCATAATGTTAAGATGATTACTGAGACAAGTCTCTAGAACGAAGGGCCTTTCGCACAATGATCAATTAAATCAGTAGTTGATTTGGCAGTCTCTCTGGCACTCGTACGGATAAGAACCTCCTGAGGAGCAACAGTTATCCATGCCATAGCAATGACTTTCGGGAATCTCACCAACTATGTCATTGTTTACTTCGGAATAGAAGCGTATTAAAGATCAATAATACTAATTTCAGCGTGCATTCTTTGATGTCAGATTAGCATTGAACAAAACAATTCAATTTGTTCAATGTGGCAGTCTGCTTTCTGTTTCTCTTTACTTTGTAGTTCCAAATTCTTTTCTCATTGTTCTAAGTATGAGTGTTCTAAATTTTCATTGGTCCCGCAGAAAAGTATATTAAAACTGTAGGTTTGCTGGTTATGCCAGATGTCCTTCCTGTAGAGTTGTTAGCGTCGTCGCAAGCACAATTGTTTTTAAATCCCGTGTTTGTATCTTCATTGGTCATTATGCCTTATGGAGGTAACGATGATCAATTGTCCATGATTGGACCAGGAGACTGCAATCATACAAAAAACCATGCCTCAAATTTTTCCCATTTGAGAAACGAGATAACCATTTTGTTCACCAAAAAGCACTCTCCATGGACGCCAAATTTTGATGATAACTTCAATCACAGGGAAGCCATAGAATGCCGGTGAAAGGTCCATAAAATTGACTTTATAATGCATCTGCTTGTTTCTTGGCCTATTTTTTAGTTGATGCAGGCATAATCTGTTCAATTCGCTACTGTGTGCAATTGCAGTGGGAATGGTACGTGGACAGAACTCTGTTGTCATTCTATCCACAGTTAAGAAAGAGCGAGATTCATATTAAAAGACAGAGTTAATCGTAGCTTGGAAAAACAGCCCTATTTACTAACGAGATGGATGCGACATTACTAGTCGATGCGGACAGAAACAACTTTCCGAAGTAAACATTCAATTTAATACATCCTTGACTGCACACGTATTCTGAGACGAAAATTTAGGTGGGGAAACCTTACCACGTTGAATATCATTTGAAAATAAATCGTTATACATCATGACGTGATTATTGCAATGAACCGACACTCCCGTTGGTACTATTGCCTGCGAATATCTCGGCATATATTTATTTATGCATAAATAAACTGAACCAGTAAAGTATGACGGAACTCTAGGGTATAAAAAAACTGGCAGCGCGCAAATATCTCCCG